AGTCTAAAATGCCAATACTTATTATTATTATTATTATTATTATTATTATTATTATTATTATTATTATTATTATTATTATTATTATTATTATTATTATTATTATTATTATTATTATTATTATTATTATTAATCCTAAATGACTAAATTCAAATTTTGTTTTTCAAAATTTATGCAACGCATATAAATAAACTCTAAAATTGCATAACGAAAGCAATTAAATAAATAAGAGAGTTTTGAGAACATATATTTGATTGAGGTTGACCTATTGATTGTCTTTTTGTCTTGAAAGTAGAAGAAAAAGACTCACTATAATCGAAAGAGAGATGTCAAACATCAATTCTAGGTTAAAAAAAGAGATAGGTAATTTGTTTTCAAAAAAAAAAAAAGAGATAGGTAATTTTGTCTCAAAGTTATATTTTTTCTTTCTTTATCCATGGAATTGAAATACCAAAAAGGCATGAGATTCTAATTCCATGGATATGAAGGAATTTCAGTTCGCGGAATTTAAATTCCCTTCAACAAAATGAAGGAATTTATTGGCCTTCAGAATTATGTAAAAATTAAGTGGAAATGAAATTGTAATTCCCACCAATCAAACGCCCGTAATAGAATTCAAAGACCAACAACTAATTTTGGAATAAGTGAAAAGTGGCAACTGGTATAATTGAATGATCACAAATATCATATTCCTTATTTTATTTATCACGGATTTGAGTTTTACTTGAAAAAATAAAAAAGAAAAAGAAAAAGAAAGACAATATGATAAAATTAATTGATTTGATTAATTAATTACTTAATTACACAACACAATTAATCATATCTTTTTCGTTTTCCTTTTTAGTATAGATGTGATCATAATTCGACCTAACCATATCTAATCTAAAATCTAAATCTAAAAACATAATAAGTGTCAATACAAGTTATGTCCTTGATTTTTGTCCCTTTTTTTATATGCTAATAAATATATACATTTTGCTTTAATTGTTGTACATTCATTTGCATTTGACAAAATCACCCTTACACCGTTAGTTTTTAATATATTTACCAATCTTACCATACACCTACATCTATCATATCTTTTTCTTATTTTTAATTATCATTTTATTAAAATTATCATATAACAATTAATTTAATTATAAATTATATTTTAATTAAATATTTATATGAATGCTAAATTATATTTTTATATAATAATAATTTACAAATAATACTAAGCTAACACTCACATATATATATATATATATATATATGTGAGTGTTAGCTTAGTATTATTTGTGAATTATTATTATATAAAAATATAATTTTTTTTTTTTTTTGTTTTGATCACTATATTATTCAAATATATGATAATTCAAAAGTATCATCACTTTAAGAAATTGCAAAACATGATTTTAACTAATTTTTCTAAATTTTGTTACTTACAAATATTTTAATATTGGGCATAAGTTTTCGCGCATCGCCCGAACAAAATGCTAGTGTATATATATATATATATATATATATATATATATATATATATATATGAATGAATTGGAATATAATTGTACCAAAAGTCCCAAAAAATCAAAATCAAAAGAGATGTTTGGTTCAAATTATCTCTCTCACACACACACACACACACACACACACACACACACACATATATATATATATATATATATATATATATAAGCTTCAAATCTGGTGCAACTCCTATACTAGATGAGATCATGAGATCTCATGATATCCATTGATTCATTTTCCATAAATGGTTGAGATTATAAGAGATTGTGAAAGTAATTAAGGATATATTTAAATAAAAAAGGATTAAATAGTAATTGTAGATATATGTTTAATTATGGATATAATTCAATTGGAATCTTAAGCATTATATTATGGAGATTATGAATGGAAATTGATATTTTCAATTATTAGGAACCATATCAATGGTAATAATTAATTATATTTTGTACATCTAAAATTTTAAATTATGGGAAATTTTACGGCGGTGTGTGCGTGGGTGTGGAATTGTGTGTGCGTTTTATAGTTTGTCATGGTGTACACCTCCTGTTACAGAAAACTGCATACGCCATTCCACACCCGCGCACACACCATCGTAAAATTCCCCACAATTAAAAAAAAAAAACAAAAAAACACAACAAGCCCAATACTATATCTACTACGCATTGATTATCTACTCGAAATTCAAACGCCGATACCCAAATTAGATTCGTATATTTTTGTTTTCTTTTGGATACGTTTCGCACACGCCCGAAACTAGTAAAACACAAACAAAAATGTACATGCCCGTATCACGAAACGCACATACCAAAACGCATAATTTTATGAAAAAAAAACCAGCACGCCATGGTGTACGAGCCCTGTTACAATAAAACGCACACACCATTCCACACCCACGCACACACCGTTCCAAAGAAAATCACTAAGAGAGAGAGAAATATTGATTAAGGAGAGCTGAAATAACGCTACAAATCTTTATAAACATGGAAATAAATGAAATGGAAAGTAATAAATATAGTGCTTAAGGACAAAAAGACCATGCTTCATCTAAAATCAGTATAGCATAGGATTCAAGTGGTAATCAATCTGAATCGTCAAAAAATTAAAATCAACGATCAGGGAGTGTGCTCACGGGCTCAGCTGACTAGGGGGTGTGCACCGGATTCAATATATATATAGGCTCCGGATCGCATGAGGTCACTTAGATGGATGAGATCATGGGATCTCATCTCATCCATTAAATCATTACAAATTGAAGGGTGAGATTGAAAGAGATTTGTTATACATTTAAGATAGCAGATTGGGCATAAGGGTGAATAAGTAATTATTATATTGGAGCTATTTTTGGTTACAAATAAATTGGAATATATTCCATGTGAAGGGGTACGTGATTATCTTATTAGCTTATATAATAATGGTAACAAATATTCTTAATAATGGGGTGAGAGCTGTAGCAAAGCATTCGCATAGCAGACACCAAGTGAAGTCGTTGTTTCTCTCGGCCACGTTGATGTCAAATTCGGCCAGAGGTATGTGCAACCGTACTAGTTTTGCATGGTAGAATGTTTTTACGTGTGTGCAGACATTATGACGAGCGTGTGCGGTTGTAAGACATGGCGGGTGTTTAGTAAGTGCATGTGGATGGAGTTTTGTAGAATTAGCATTACGTTAAATATGTGCGACACGGGTTTCAAAAAGTTAAAGATGCAACGAAACATGTGTGTGTATACGAAATGTTAATGGAAATTTTTCTTGGATGTTTGTGCGAAGCTAGTTCATAGATTTTCAATTATGCGGTAATCATAGAGTTTTAAAGCATGAGAGAGTTATTTTCTAAGCCTGTACGAGTTAGTGTTTTAGAATGTGCAAGTTACGTTATAAAGCCTGTGCAAGTTAGTTTGTAAGGATGTGGTAGGTAGTTCCTGAGCCTGTGCAAGTCAATTGTTGATCCTGTGGTAGTTTTTGTTTTTTACGGATGTGCAAGTTCGTTCTGAGCCTGTGCAAGTTATTTTCTTAGCCTGTGCAACTTACGACGTAGTGGGAATAAATGTCCGATGTTTTAATTTCCTGACATTAAGTACGCTTTTAAGCCTTTGCAAGGTATTTTTATGTCTGTGCAATATGCATGAATGATTGAGGTTAGCCTGTGCAAGTGAGGTATTTAGACTGTGCAATTAAGTTTTAAAGCGTGTGGGAGTTATTTTCTAAGCCTGTGCGAGTTAGTTTTTAAGAATGTGCAAGTTACGTTTTTAAGCCTGTGAAAGTTAATTTGTAAGGATGTGATAGGTAGTTCCTGAGCTTGTGCAAGTTAAATGTTGATCCTGTGCTAGTTTCTTTTAAGCAGATGTGCAAGTTTGTTATGAGCCTGTGCAAGTTATTTTCTTAGCGTGTGCAAGTTACGACGTAGTCGTAATAAATGACCGATGTTTTAATTTCCAGACAGTAAGTAAGGAACTTAAATTTAACGAAAGCAAATGCACGTATTTCAACGTTTCGAATGTAACATATTTACATGATTCGGTGTTAGCCGAGACACTATATATAAACAAATTTAATTATTAAATCAGATGAAGATTAATGAGTGTGTTGAATAAATGATTCCATGAGCTGGAAAACCTACATGAAGAATCACAAAGAAAAAAAAAAACGAAAATGCAGTTTTATATATATATATATATATATATATATATATATATATATATATATATATATATATTTATATTTGGAATTAACAACTCTACCACCAAAAACTTAAAAAAAAAAAACAAAAAACAAAAACAAAAACAAAAACAAAATAAGAGTGACATACTACATAGACAAAACACCACAATAATACAAAATTAAACAACGGATTAAACGCACAAACCATAACAGTGCAATGCACACAAAACTAACAAATTACATGCCAACAATAACCCAGAAACCCCTACACGAAAGAATCCCCAAAGATATACATGTTTTTTTAAAAGCACCCTAATGTCCAAAGGGAAAGTGAAAATCAAAATTGCATTTATAACGAAAAAGAATTAATACCAAACATGATAACATACACATGGCATTTCCGTACCAAGTGCACCAATTAAATCCCACGCCAAACACTTTAACCCACCGTCGCAACGTACCAAAATACACAGAAGACACAAATGAGACAAAAAAAACCAAAATAGATTACGTCGCACGCACCATACAGTGAAATGCACACACCAATAATAAATGGCATGTAACCAAACACCAGAAAAAAATGGAGATTATGAAAATGAATGCGTACTTATAGCTGGTTTTTTAAAAAAACAAATCCAATGACCAAAATGAAATTATACATGTCCAATGATGGCAGCCTTTACATTGTCAACAGAAGTAGTATTAAGTGCATTGAAAATCAAATGCTGAGGAGGATATTTCACTCTCCACAAATTTACATAAGTTTTTGGCATACGGCTTTTCAAACTCCCCCGGCAATGCTTGCAACCACGACTCCTCTACCAACAATTCCTTCAACTTCACATACTAAGCCCCCTCACCTACCACACATGTACTCCCTTGAAATCCCTCATCGATTAAAATAAACCAAGTGTACATAAAAGATCAGGTGTAATCATGCAGACTGACCTTTAACAACAGAACTAGAGACATCTCAGCACAGAGCTTGAGATTGCGTTTCGCTTTGGCTAGGGATTTGTTGAATTCGATTCTCGATTTCTGGTCAGGAGTGAGCACCGTTGTGGTTGGCAGCACGACGTCGTTTTGGTCGGCATCGCCGTCCGTCGGCGACGACGAGGCAGTAGAAGAGAAGCTGTTGGCGACGAGAACAGTGGAGGGGGGAGACGACGGTGGCGAAGAGATCCGTTTGAGGCGCTTCGCTGCCGGTTGCTTGAAAAAATCCAAAATGGTTTTCCCAGAAGAAGAAGCCATTTCCTTTACACAAGATTCCATATCTTTGCTCTGTAGTACGGCTGTAGGGTAGTTTATTGTGATAGCAAAATGGCGCCTAGAAGGGGAAAGTCACTCTTTTGTGGCGGGAACAAACCATTAACATCATTGAATATTTGTGTTATTGAATATGCTAGGAAAAGAAGGAAGAAACGAAGAAGATGAGCAGTCAGGGAGAAGAAAAAGAAAAGAAGAAGAAGCGACGGGTGGAATGGAAAGAGACGGCACACATAATAAAATCCGATTACGACCATAATTATCAACGTACAAGTCCATAAAATCTGCAATTAAATTAATGTAAATAAATATAACCTAATAAAGACACAACTAAAAAGACAATAAAACCCCCCCACACACCAACAATGAGGCGCACGTGCCCATAATGTCTCATCCATCTCATCCATCCAACACCCCAGATAGACGCACAAGATCAAGCCTCACCACCTTACCTGCCAAAAGTAACCTCACCAGATACAATATATATATATATATATATATATATATATATATATATATATATTGAATCCGGTGCACACCCCCTAGTCAGCTGAGCCCGTGAGCACACTCCCTGATCGTTGATTTTAATTTTTTGACGATTCAGATTGATTACCACTTGAATCCTATGCTATACTGATTTTAGATGAAGCATGGTCTTTTTGTCCTTAAGCACTATATTTATTACTTTCCATTTCATTTATTTCCATGTTTATAAAGATTTGTAGCGTTATTTCAGCTCTCCTTAATCAATATTTCTCTCTCTCTTAGTGATTTTCTTTGGAACGGTGTGTGCGTGGGTGTGGAATGGTGTGTGCGTTTTATTGTAACAGGGCTCGTACACCATGGCGTGCTGGTTTTTTTTTCATAAAATTATGCGTTTTGGTATGTGCGTTTCGTGATACGGGCATGTACATTTTTGTTTGTGTTTTACTAGTTTCGGGCGTGTGCGAAACGTATCCAAAAGAAAACAAAAATATACGAATCTAATTTGGGTATCGGCGTTTGAATTTCGAGTAGATAATCAATGCGTAGTAGATATAGTATTGGGCTTGTTGTGTTTTTTTGTTTTTTTTTTTAATTGTGGGGAATTTTACGATGGTGTGTGCGCGGGTGTGGAATGGCGTATGCAGTTTTCTGTAACAGGAGGTGTACACCATGACAAACTATAAAACGCACACACAATTCCACACCCACACACACACCGCCGTAAAATTTCTCATAATTTAAAATTTCAGATGTACAAAATATAATTAATTATTACCATTGATATGGTTCCTAATAATTGAAAATATCAATTTCCATTCATAATCTCCCTAATATAATGCTTAAGATTCCAATTGAATTATATCCATAATTAAACATATATCTACAATTACTATTTAATCCTTTTTATTTAAATATATCCTTAATTAATTTCACAATCTCTTACAATCTCAACCATTTATGGAAAATGAATCAATGAATATCATGAGATCTCATGATCTCATCTAGTATAGGAGTTGCACCAGATTTGAAGCTTATATATATATATATATATATATATATATATGTGTGTGTGTGTGTGTGTGTGTGTGTGTGTGTGTGTGTGTGTGTGTGTGTGTGTGTGTGTGTGTGTGTGTGTGTGTGTGTGTGTGTGTGTGTGTGTGTGAGATAATTTGAACCAAACATCTCTTTTGATTTTGATTTTTTGGGACTTTTGGTACAATTATATTCCAATTCATTCATATATATATATATATATATATATATATATATATATATATACACTAGCATTTTGTTCGGGCGATGCGCGAAAACTTATGCCCAATATTAAAATATTTGTAAGTAACAAAATTTAAAAAAATTAGTTAAAAAAATTATTTTAATCGATGAGGGATTTCAAGGGAGTACATGTGTGGTAGGTGAGGGGGCTTAGTATGTGAAGTTGAAGGAATTGTTGGTAGAGGAGTCGTGGTTGCAAGCATTGCCGGGGGAGTTTGAAAAGCCGTATGCCAAAAACTTGTGTAAATTTGTGGAGAGTGAAATATCCTCCTCAGCATTTGATTTTCAATGCACTTAATACTACTTCTGTTGACAATGTAAAGGCTGCCATCATTGGACATGTATAATTTCATTTTGGTCATTGGATTTGTTTTTTAAAAAACCAGCTATAAGTACGCATTCATTTTCATAATCTCCATTTTTTTCTGGTGTTTGGTTACATGCCATTTATTATTGGTGTGTGCATTTCACTGTATGGTGCGTGCGACGTAATCTATTTTGGTTTTTTTTGTCTCATTTGTATCTTCTGTGTATTTTGGTACGTTGCGACGGTGGGTTAAAGTGTTTGGCGTGGGATTTAATTGGTGCACTTGGTACGGAAATGCCATGTGTATGTTATCATGTTTGGTATTAATTCTTTTTCGTTATAAATGCAATTTTGATTTTCACTTTCCCTTTGGACATTAGGGTGCTTTTAAAAAAACATGTATATCTTTGGGGATTCTTTCGTGTAGGGGTTTCTGGGTTATTGTTGGCATGTAATTTGTTAGTTTTGTGTGCATTGCACTGTTATGGTTTGTGCGTTTAATCCGTTGTTTAATTTTGTATTATTGTGGTGTTTTGTCTATGTAGTATGTCACTCTTATTTTGTTTTTGTTTTTGTTTTTGTTTTTTGTTTTTTTTTTTTTTTAAGTTTTTGGTGGTAGAGTTGTTAATTCCAAATATAAATATATATATATATATATATATATATATATATATATATATAAAACTGCATTTTCGTTTTTTTTTTCTTTGTGATTCTTCATGTAGGTTTTCCAGCTCATGGAATCATTTATTCAACACACTCATTAATCTTCATCTGATTTAATAATTAAATTTGTTTATATATAGTGTCTCGGCTAACACCGAATCATGTAAATATGTTACATTCGAAACGTCGAAATACGTGCATTTGCTTTCGTTAAATTTAAGTTCCTTACTTACTGTCTGGAAATTAAAACATCGGTCATTTATTACGACTACGTCGTAACTTGCACACGCTAAGAAAATAACTTGCACAGGCTCATAACAAACTTGCACATCTGCTTAAAAGAAACTAGCACAGGATCAACATTTAACTTGCACAAGCTCAGGAACTACCTATCACATCCTTACAAATTAACTTTCACAGGCTTAAAAACGTAACTTGCACATTCTTAAAAACTAACTCGCACAGGCTTAGAAAATAACTCCCACACGCTTTAAAACTTAATTGCACAATCTAAATACCTCACTTGCACAGGCTAACCTCAATCATTCATGCATATTGCACAGACATAAAAATACCTTGCAAAGGCTTAAAAGCGTACTTAATGTCAGGAAATTAAAACATCGGACATTTATTCCCACTACGTCGTAAGTTGCACAGGCTAAGAAAATAACTTGCACAGGCTCAGAACGAACTTGCACATCCGTAAAAAACAAAAACTACCACAGGATCAACAATTGACTTGCACAGGCTCAGGAACTACCTACCACATCCTTACAAACTAACTTGCACAGGCTTTATAACGTAACTTGCACATTCTAAAACACTAACTCGTACAGGCTTAGAAAATAACTCTCTCATGCTTTAAAACTCTATGATTACCGCATAATTGAAAATCTATGAACTAGCTTCGCACAAACATCCAAGAAAAATTTCCATTAACATTTCGTATACACACACATGTTTCGTTGCATCTTTAACTTTTTGAAACCCGTGTCGCACATATTTAACGTAATGCTAATTCTACAAAACTCCATCCACATGCACTTACTAAACACCCGCCATGTCTTACAACCGCACACGCTCGTCATAATGTCTGCACACACGTAAAAACATTCTACCATGCAAAACTAGTACGGTTGCACATACCTCTGGCCGAATTTGACATCAACGTGGCCGAGAGAAACAACGACTTCACTTGGTGTCTGCTATGCGAATGCTTTGCTACAGCTCTCACCCCATTATTAAGAATATTTGTTACCATTATTATATAAGCTAATAAGATAATCACGTACCCCTTCACATGGAATATATTCCAATTTATTTGTAACAAAAAATAGCTCCAATATAATAATTACTTATTCACCCTTATGCCCAATCTGCTATCTTAAATGTATAACAAATCTCTTTCAATCTCACCCTTCAATTTGTAATGATTTAATGGATGAGATGAGATCCCATGATCTCATCCATCTAAGTGACCTCATGGGATCCGGAGCCTATATATATATATATATATATATATATATATATATATATATATATATATATATATATATATATATATATATATATATATATATATATATATATATATATATATATATATATATCGTATGTTCCTATTTAGTTATAGAGAATGTGAAGTTACTGCAAAAAAATATAAAGTTCTTAAACTTTATTTTAGTTCATTCTTTATAAACAAAAATTCAATTTTTTTTGTAAATTATTATTAGTTATGTAAGATTTTTGAGAGTATTACATCATCTTAAAACATTCATTGAACCAAAACACCTCTAAAGTTTTTGGTTAAGGTTTTTGAATATTGAAAATCTTAATTGGCAATCCACAACCTTTAAAAAATATATATGTATATTTACAATGTATTAATTACATAATGTGTATATTACTATACTAAGATTATTCTCATCTCAGCAAGTGAACCCCTTTCAAGATGATGGGAAGGTAATGTGATTTTTTTTTTTTTTTATTTTGTTAGCTTATGTGGCTTGCAAGCTTGCTATAATAACAAGTTTGCAATTGACATTTATTTCTTTTTTTATTTCTTTGTTTATTTGTTATTTTATTATTACTTTATTATTATGTCTATTATGTTTATAATATAAAATGCAAGTGAAACCACTTTTGAAAGTGAAAGAGTGGCATTTAAAAGTGAGAGAGTATTACAGGAATAATGATAGCCTAATAATTAATATAAAGTTACTGGCTCTATTACATTGTAGTATCTGTTCATATACTTTCTCAACCTACTGAAACACAAAGAACCAATAACGCCTCCACTGAGGCTTGAACTCATAATCTTCCAAATGGAAGTCCAACCCGGATACCATTAGACCACATAGTCCTGGTTAATTATTACTATATATATATATATATATATATATATATATATATATATATATATATATATATATATATATATATATATATATAATGTATTAAATACTAGGGAGTATATTAAAATTTTACTTCTATATGTGACATATTTAGTCAACTTGGAATATATAAATGATTTAGTATACAAAATAGAATTAATTTCACTTTTGGTCCCACGACTTATGATGTTCTATCACTTTTGGTGCACAACTTTAAAATTTTTTAAATTTTTTCAATTTTGGTGCCTAACTTTGTTATTTTTATCAGTTTAGGTCCTTCTAGCCAAATTGACGGTAAAATATTTCTAGATTTTATATTTTAGGGGCAAAATCGTCATCCCATGGAAAGATCTTCAATATTTAAACAAAAGAAAAATCATATTAAGAGGAAAAGAAGAGTTTGTCAATGGTCGAAACTATAAATCCCATAGATCTGTCTGGTTTCTGCCCATCTTCCCCATTATTCTCATCATCAAACACCTATAGATATGATTTTACGGTGATTTTGTTTAGATATTGAAGATGTTTCCTTGGGATGACGATTTTACCCCTAACAATATAAAATCCAACAACATTTAACTGTCAATTTGGCCGAAAGGACCAAAATTGATAAAAATAACAAAGTTAGGCACCAAAATTAAAAAATTTTAAAGTTGTGCACCAAAAGTGATAGAACATCATAAGTCGTGGGACCAAAAGTGAAATTAATTCAAATAATACAAAATATGTTACAAATAGAATTGTATAATCTACACCCTAATCCTTACCATAAACAACCCATAACTTTTGAAAAATAAAATTTTTAATTTTTTCATGCCCATTGAAAATTAGGTAATTTTGTATTCATTTTTGAGAATGCATTTAATAAAAATAAAATATTAAAAAGAAGTAATTTTCTGTCCAAATGCATGCAATGGACGCGTGATTGGCGTGAAAGGAATTAATTTCTTTAAATTTAAAGGAATTAATTTCTTTCAATTTTCAATACATTGCTTGTGGCTACTGCAATGAACATATCGTGGATGCAGAACTTGGAACGTTGGTAGCAGTATTTGAGATCTTGGGCATCAAAATGTATTAATTGTTTATAGCTTTGAAACACACTTTTTACACCTACTTCAGTATAAATATCAACAATGTATGTATCTGAAAATTTCAACTACAAAATATTCAGCATCCGAGATCATGGTGAATGCTGTCGGAGGTTACCAGAGAGATCAAGGGAACCAAAATGGTAATGGTAATTCTTTTGAAGTTACTTTGTTGAAACTCTTGCTTTGATGTCGTATTATGTACATTGTTTGATTAATCTCTGTATATAATGATTTTTCTTTTGGTTGTGTAGTCCTATAGAGAATCATTGTGTTAATCCATTTGTTTTGAAGCACAGAAGGTATTTATCTTTACCTTAAAACTTGATATTATGTATACTTTTTTAATTTCATTTTTTTTTTTTTTGTGATTGATGTTTTTGTAGATGGTATTGTGATGGATCTGTGTTTTTTTTTTTTTTTTCCAGGTTTTATTATTACGAGTATTTGTTTACCACCTAGATGAGAAGTAACCACTTGGACCTGATTTTATTATGGCTTTTATTATTACAGAGTTTTTAATTAGTTTTATTTTTAGTGTTGGTAGTAACCCTATAGAACAACTTCGATTGTACCATGAATGCAGTCTATGGTGAGAAATCCATGGCTATTCATCAAGAGCATGACATTTTTTTTTTAATTTTTTTTATTTTTTTTGTAAAGAGCATGACATTTTATTAAATGGAGGGTGTGGTTGAATGAAAGAGACTCATGCATCCTTAACCAAAGGTCAATGGTTCAATCCTTGACTTCTTCGTCGATGGTGGGGATACTGATCGCTATCATGAATTTGTGGATCGCCAACCTTCTGCAACTCTCTAGCCGCAAGCCGCAATTCATTCAGTGTTGAATGCATAGACAATCATGATTGGGGCCAATCTCAGTTTGTGGATCCGCGACTGCCCGGGGGCGATTTCGGGGTTCCTCCTGGGCCCGATGAATTTCCGGCAATAGGACGTTTCTGACCAAGGAGTTGCTGGTGGCTTGGCCATGGTATGGCTGTGACCTCTTGCTCGTTTGCCGACCCTTCTCCTTTAACCCAACCTGTTGGTGAACCTGAGAGCAGTCAATTGTTGCTGGTCGTTATAGAGCTTAAATTGTATGTGCCACCATTGGTGAACGGTATGTTTCCCAAATATTTAAAATTTTGATTACAAAATGTTGGTGGAAGCATAAGATTTGTCATTCGTGACATTACTATATGCTGCGTTAGTTGCTGCTGTATTGCGACGTGAATTTACATTTATTGTTGTGGTTATTTGCTTGCTTGTTCATGTGGATTGCGGAATTTGAGAAGTTAAAATGTTACTTCAATGATTGCACATTTGCACTGAGGATGAGAATATCCATGTAACTTGGCACAACTTGAGCTTTTTAAAGCAAGATGCTTCAATTCCAGAGCTCTATGAAAAATAGGCTTTTGCCTCTTATGTAGCCTTGAAAGTCCTTTTGGCACAAGTTCAGCTTCAAAGTAAGCTAAACCAAAAGAATCACTTATTGATACTAATTAAGTATCTGAAGCTTTTAATTGCTTTTACTTTTACTGTATACCTCTATCCATTCTTTTTCGGTGAAATAATAAGCCAATTATGTTTTCTGGCATGGTAGAACAAATGAATTGCTTACTTGATTTTCAGAACAACAACAAGCATTTCTTTGTGAAAAAAAGGGCAAATAATGTATGATGGTATGATAAGAATTTGCCTCAGCATTGACCTATTTGTGATGCTTCTTTTGCTTACGAACCTGCAATGAATTATGTTCCTAATGGACCACACTACGAGTATATTGTATTCTTCTTTGCTGCACCACTATTTCCAAAGATAGCTTTTGAATGATGTTTCATCCATGTTCTATTACATATGAAGTGTGGTGATGGATCAAATTCTCAATGGCCTCCATGTATGTTTAATGTCTTGCGCTACATGCCCACAAAGATTTTATAAGTACTTGGTTAGAATGTACCTCTTGAGTGTTAAATTTATTTGCATAAATTTTGAGGCATGATTGAAAAATTTTGATCGATACAGTTTGAAAATTAAATTCAGAAAAATACCTGTTGAACTCCTTTTGGCCTGACTTTTTTTTTTTTTTTTTTTTTTTTTTTTTTTTTTTTTTTTGGAGAACCTAGCCTTGTTATATTTAATATCTGTAAAAAGATTGTTAAAAATATGCTTTGGATGTTCCAAAATTTTTTTGTAAAGTTTTAGTAGTGTGCTGTCAGTTATTTTTCTGTCAGGCGCAGTGTTGGGAAAAATTTCGGGAAAAATACTTCCAAACTTTGGATCGACATGAAAACTTTTATGTACTTTCTAGACTTGCTGAGCTTCATATTTGCAAAATTTTGTATTAAAATGTCTTATCTTTTTCCCAGAAAATTTTGCAATTTGAATGCATGTGTATAATTTGCCCGGTTGCCCGGAAGGCACAAACACAAAGTACTTATGCATGGGTATGATTTGCAATCTGAATGCATGCGTATAATTTCCCAGGCGTGAATCTCCATCACAGAGTACTGATGCCCGGAAGGTACAAAAACTCAATTTGCCTGAAGCAAAGGCGATACTGAATGATGATAATGATGATCTATTGCGGTATGAACTTGAACATTATGGTGATCGTGAGTGATCACTATATGATTGTTTGATGGGCAATTATCTATTTATTTATCCATTTTATTAGTAGTTTTCTAATCCCTTTCGGACATGAATATATTTTAATTCATGATGACTATGTACATTCTGTTTATTTTATTTTATTATGACGTTTTTAATATTATCGTCATTATTACATTATTCATCCATGTGACATATGCCTCTTATCTCTGATAAATGATTTTTTCCATAATCCAAGTATTTAATTTGAGATAGCATGAAAATATGACATTGAATTGAATATGTCATATCCATAGCTTCCTTGATTAATTTTGATTTTCAACACATACTGGCATACATATATAAATTGCATTTGTCAGGCACGATTATTATTAAGGAAAGGTACTACATGCCTAGCAATAGTGAGAATTCTGCTAATGATTAAAATATCCTTTGTGGCTGGAATCTTGATTTTTTTTTTTTTTTTTCCCTAATCACATCATTGTTATTAGATTAGTCTTACATGTTTACATGTTTAAGTTTATGTTAGATTATATTTATATCTAACACGTGACACTAGAGCCACATTACTTATGCCTAGTTGATTAACTGAGTGTCTCATGTTATTGCCTTACCTATGTTTTGAAATAACGCTAGTCTAAATACTTAGTCTAAAAACGATAGCCTAAATAAATACTATTTTTAATTTAAATTTTTCTAAGTCTTCTTAATTCTCTTTTGGGTAGTATTGTCATTGTATTCATCTTCAGTGCATGTCTTCTTCTTTTTTATTGGTAGTGTGTTATGTGGGTTACTGTCATACTGGTGGTAGCATAGAGGGCAACGTCATGCAATAGATTATGTTGTAGGAAGTTTTAGATTTTCCTTGTTATGTATATGACTGAGATCTTAGTTGTACTAGGAATTCTTTATCTTGCAAGCGCATGTCGATATTTGGTGCGCATGTTGATATTTGGTAGTGGGATACTTTTTTCCCCTACATGTTTCATGTGTTGTGAGATGTGTGCCGTAGATTATCATGTGAAAGTATTGAACAAAATATTAATATTTATTATATTTGTATATATTTGTATAAAATACATTGGTAAATAAATATATAACATATTTTGTATTATAACTTTGATATTTAATTATAAGATAGTGTAAAAAGAAAACAATGGACAATGTAGTGAATATAAATAATTAAAGAATTTGAAGGTAAGGAATCTTTAAATTGTACAAAATAAATGAATATACAAATCTAATAAATTATATTTCTTTTTTAATTTTTTTATAATGAATATTTTTTTTTTAATAAAGGCATTATAGACATTTAATTCTAAATTAATTAAATGCATATATATTATTTTTGGTTGTAGCTACTAATTTATTTAATTTAATAAGAGTAATAAAGTGGTTACTTACTTTTCATCCACAACAATGAAGTAATTGAATTTTTTTTTTTATTATTTTCATTCGTTGTTGAGACAAATTATTTTTAGAGTTTGTCAATGATAATTGCTACAATTGCTATCAATACAGGATAATAATAAATAATTCGAAATATATGGTTACAATAGATATTGTTTTGAGTTCATAGTAAAAATTAACTTACAATTTCTTTAGAAGTTTCATGCATTGATAAAATTCTGAGAATGATGTGTAAACTTGTTCAATTGGAGCTAATGGAATGTCGACATTGTCAATTCTTTGTAATATGGTCCTACCGTTTCAGAGTCCAGGTGTAGTTCTGATAAACAACTTTGTAGTTATGTCGCGCATGTTTGACAATGATGTAAGAATAATTTTGTCAGATAAAAAAAATAATAGTACAATATTTGTAAAGTAATGTACAATTGTACCATTATTGAAATATATACAAAAAATATTAATACTATAATGACCTAAATCATTCCAATAATGCAAAAACACATATTGAAATATTGGCTCCGTCTGATATCTTGCCTACTCTCAATAATTTAATTAATAGAAGGGTTGAGTTGGTTAATATTTGCCCAGCATGTGGCTTGGAGGAGGAAGATGTTATGCATGTTTTATGTACTTGTTCTTTTGCTTCACAAGTGTGGAACTTATCTCAACTGCTTATCTCTTCTTTTGACGGCAGGAGTTTTAGGCAATGGACGGAGCAATGGCTTGGCATCTCGGCTACTTATAATTCAGAGGCTCAGGGGAGGATTTGTGGTTTGTTATATGATATTTGGACTGTCAGGAATGAGGCGGTTTGGGATGGTTGTTTGCCGGTGCCATTTGTGGTAGTTAGGAGGTTCACGGCTAGTTGGGCTTCTTGGACTGCAACCGAACAGCATCGTAGCACCACACGAGTATCACATGCACCCCTGGGACCGGCTTCGGTACTAGATGATGGAGTGATTTGTCGAGTAGATGCGGGCTTCCATGGTCCTAATCATGCACCAGCTTTTGGTTTTGTTGTACAGGAGATGGATGGAGCTTTTGTGGCGGCAGGGAATGGACCTCTTATTTGCCCATATGACCCCCTCTTGGCGGAAGCGATGGCTTTGTGTGAGGCTTTATCGTGGCTAAGGAATAATGGCTTCTCAATGGTTTCAGTTTACACTGATAGTCTTGTCTTAGTTTCTAGTCTTAATCATGCTAGTTCGTTTCGTACTTATTTTGGTTACGTTTTGCATTCTTGTAATCATTTGTTATCTGCTATGACTAGATCAGTAGTAATTCATGTTCGTAGGGATGCTATACAGGTTGCCCATGTAATGACTAAGCATGTAACTGTCTCTTTGGCACGTTCTCTTTGGAGGGATGTTCCTCCTTTTCTTGAGCCTGGAATGGCTAATGCAATATAAGTTTGTTGGCTTTCAAAAAAAAAAAAAAGGAAAAAAAAAGTTAACCTAATTTTTTTTTTTTTTAATGCAAGAAAATG